AATTGGTGGCAGATGTTAGCTCAGGGCTAATCTTCCACAAAAAAAAAAAAAAAAAGACTAAGCTTCTTCTAGAATGGCAGTGAAACAACTACTGACATATTTTGTTATATAACACCCTAGGAGTTCAGAGCATGGTGTAGACACATTCTACTTCTGACTGCTTGGAGTTTAAAGGGCATCAAAATTCTTAATCAAGGTCAGGCAACAGTCTGAAGCTATGGCTATTCTGAAACAAGTTGGCATCAGAGAACTCGCATCACCACTCGCCTGTATCAGGTTGCAGCTCAAACAGAATAAGATCATGCACTAGATTCCCTGAAATAATAATGACAAAGAGTTAGCTTGCTTCTGTCCCCAGTCATGCCTGACCTGTGTACAAAAGAGAGAGCATTAGCCTCCCTATTATTACCGTTCTCTAATTTCCTGAAAGAGAAAAACCTCTTACAATGGAAACTTTAAGGCTGTAATCCTGTTAGGAACAATAGTGAAAATGATCCTGTTAATGTGTTCTAAGAATCTTTGCACTAGGCACTAGATAGCCCAAACCTCTTTTCAGTGCTTCTTTTTTTCTGTTTAACTTCCTTTGGTCATCCCTTCACAGGGATATCTTTCTAAGTTTCCAGTTCTCTCAAAGCATAGATCAACAAAAGTGACAATGAGAAAAACAAAAGAAGATTACCAGAAGGGCAAGTCTATTTTTCATCTACATCCCTGTCGAAATATCACAGCACATAACATAACAAATTGAAAGCTCTGGTTGGTATTCACAGATAATTTCTAGCCCTTCAGGTTAGTTGTACTAAATCATCAGATCATTTCCTTTCAGCAATGAGAATTAACTTTACAAGAAGGAGATTTCTAATGGAGGAAGATGGCAGGAAGTGAATCTTCTGTCCACCTCAGCTGGCTAAAATGGCAATGCTTTTTGCTCTCAGAGATGTGAGATGCTGATATAATTGTTAGAAACTTTAAATGATACTTAAGACTTAAATCTTCTAAACTAATTGACAAGTTGCTTATTTACAAGGCAAATGGTAAAAGAGAAGGTGACAGGTGTAGAGATTCTTAGTTAATTTCTTAGCTATTTATAGTGAATTACCTATTCAATTAAATAGCAAACATTTAAAAAATTTCCTTGGGTTATCTTTTTAAACAGGTTAATCAAATTCAACATGCCACTCTGTGACAAATTTCAGAATTAATCTGGACACAAGTTTAGATGAAGTGCCACTTCTGAGTAAAAGAAGTTGGCTAGGAGATGTAATTTTGATGCTGAAATTTGAGCATGCTCTTGGTTTATTTAAAAACACCCAAGTCCACATGAAAATGTTATATCCTGAAGCATTCTGTATCCATTTATGCCACGGTTATAAGAATAACATTCATATAAAATGCTAATATGCACAAGAGTAGCAAGAGTCTGTAGAGGAGGAATTGGCAAACCACAGACCATGAGCCACATCTGTCCCACCACCTGTTTTGTTGTTGTTGTTGTTGTTGTTGTTAAGGAAGACTCACCTGAGCTAACACCTATGCCAGTCTTCCTCTATTTTGTATGTGGGTCGCCACCACAGCGCGGCTGACGAGTGGTGCAGGTCCACGCCTGGGATCCAAACCAGCGAAACTGGGCCACTGAAGTGGAGTGTGCCAAACTTAACCACTATACTATGGGGCCAGCCCCTACCACCTGTTTTTGTAAATAAAGTTTTATTGGCAAAAAGCTACAGTCATTTGTTTATATGTTGTCTATGGCTACTTTTGTATTACAATGGCAGAGTTAAATAGTTGTGACGGGGACTATATGGTCTACGCAGCCTAAAATAGCCAATATCTAGCACTTCACAGAAAAGTTTACAGACCCCTGTGTAGAGTTCTTGAGGGTGTAGCATAATGTTTGTTTACAATTCCTCTTTACCTTGGGCACAGAAGATGACAGTAAAGCCCCCACATCTGTGTCTGTATAATTGAGGCAGATAGATGCATTGGTTCTCACATGCCACGTAGAAGTGAGTGGGCATCACAGATGATATTAGTCCATTGTCATGGATTTTATTTCTTCTTGCAGCCAATATTTTACATTTCCTGCTGTTACACATAGGGAGTTTACAATTAAGAATATAATTAGTTGAGTATATGGAGTAATCAGCCCTCTTTTAGATAAACAACTCAAACTGCATATTTATACTGAGCTAGAATCATCATGTATTCATGCCAGCAATATATTGTTATTGTGTGTAATAAGTAAGCTGAGCATCCTGGAAGACTTTAGATAATGGCAAATCAAACTCTGATCCTAAAGTCAGGACCTCCTTCCACTGTTTTTCAGACACAGCATGACTCACCAAGGCCAGCACAATTGGGTAATTGCTGACACTTTTAGACTTTTAGATCTACTCAGGGAGACTTATCTTTCTCTACTATTTTATCCTGGTGAATATTATTGAAACTGCCAAGCCTTATTATACACATACATTTAAGCAATTACGGATTCCACCTGCTTCACTCCAAGTCTAAGAATGGTTGTTTAAACAACAAAGTATGAAGCTGTCATTAAAGCTACACCAACAGTAAACACAGAGATAGACCAGAGGTGATTTCAGGTGCCAGTAGGAGTGACCACTCTGCATAGTCGAGCTTTGTTTCCTTTTGTTTTTAATAATTTATAAACACTTTCATGTACATTATCTCATGTAGTCCGCACTGTAACTAGGGGGAGGTAGGGCAAAGATCACCATCTATGGGGACAGTTCGTGGGTGACTCACTTACTCTCCAACACTTTATAGCGAAATTATGAAGAGTCAAAATCCTATGGAAAAAATTAATAACTCATAGAATTCAAGAGACTTTCTGTTTAGTTTGCAGAATTACATGTTTAATGATCTTTGAAATCATATAGCTAGGAAGTGGCTAAGCTGGGATTCGAACCCAAGAAATACGGCTTCAGAGCATACGCAGTTAACTTCTATACTGCTTCAAAATAACAAAGATTTATTTAACAATGACTGGGTATTCACATATTAAACACACAAACCCCATTTATGGAGCTTCCCTCTGTGCCAGGCACTGCAGGAAAGATGGAGCTCTAAGAGCATTACCCAGAAATGTATTTATTTAGTGATTTCTCACCTACTGCAATTCTTATGGATGTTTGAAGAAAAAGAACAGAGTGCTACCAAACATAGCAGGAGGTCCTGACACTTCAGAGGAAGCAAATTTTCTAGTGTGTCTTGAAAGACACGTAGGAGTTTTGCGGAAGATTAGGAGGAGGGAGAGGCACAGGTGCAGAAAGAACATTCCAGGCAGAGCGATCAGTAAGTGTGAACACACTTGCCTTAATCATGGAAAATACACATTCTCCATGAATTGAAACTCGACCAAATACTTGGTTCTTGACATACATTCTTCTTCTGGCTCCTTCTCATTTATTTCCTTCCCCTCTCTTGCTATTCTCATTTCTTTTGCAGGTTCCTTTTCAGTTTCTTTGCTGATTTCTTAACGTTGCTGATGCTCAGGACTCTGTCCTTGGACCTATTTTTTTTCCTCACTTTAATTCTCAGATTGTATCATCCACTCCAAGGATTTAATTACTATTGATATTCTAATAAGAACCAACTCTCTATAGCCAGATCACAACTCTGTTTTGAGGGCCAGTCCTGTGTACTTGGCTGACTACTGGTGGCTCTGTCTCCTTCAAAGTCTTCCAAGTATCTTAACCTCCAACTGTCCCCAAAGAAATCATTATTAGTCCCCTCCCAAACTGTTCTTCCTCATTGCTCTGCATAAATGGATTAAACCAGAGACCTGAGCATAATTCTTCACAACTCCTTTCTTTTAACACAGATTTTCCCCCTTAATGCAGTTCTTTGAATTCTGCTTCCCAAGTTTCTCTCAAATGTGACACTTTCATCCATCCCCATCGCCATGACATTGTAATGCTACCCGTGGCAGCTGTGTAACTATATTACCCTTTGCTAATCCATTCTCTACACCAGTCAGAATAACCTACCGAGAATGCAAACCCAAGTATGTCATTCCATGTTTACACTTACATTGCCTTTAGGATAAGATGGGGACACAGCCCTCCATTCTCTGAATCCCATCTACCACCACTTTAGCTCCATTTCTTGTCACGCTAGCATTCCATATCTTCTCAACTATGGATCAAGCCATACGCTTTTTAACCTAAGTTTGTTCTTCTACTACTTCCTCCCATTCCGTTTTGCTTGACTATCTCCTACCTATCCTCCATGCCTTGGACTTGACCTCAGGACGCTTTTTATTACTCTGTACCTTTAGTAGGTCAAATTGTTCTATTACGCCTCCATAGCCCTGTACTCCCCACAACATTGCATTGATGACATTTTATGATACTGACTATTTAGTTATTTATAAATACAAGACACATATCTCTCTAGCTTATTATAACTACATCATCTAACATAGTACCTGGTATGTAGTAACCATGTAATAAACATTTATTGATTTACATGAGTGAATGTTATAACTGTGAGAGTCATCTATTTGTATTCTCACAGAATAACATGAGCTTTTGGATGAGAAGCACAAATTTAATCTTGCCTTTGTCACTTATTTTCAGTATTGGTTTTGACAAATTACTTAACTTCTCTGAATCTCAAATTTAATCTGTAAAATAAGCATGATAATATCCAACTCATAACACTGTTGTAAAAATTAAAAAGGTCCATAAAGGACTGGGCACATTTAAGTGCTTGACAAATGGGAGCTTTTAGCTGATTAGCTTAGTGTCTTATGAAGTGGAACTTACATCAAATGCCTATGAGTTTGAAGAATATTGGTGTGATCTGGTATGACATACTCCTTTCTCTGCTACTTAATTTCTTTAAGAACTCTCTTAATTTTAAATTTGATTTTCTGTACTATCCTGTCCAACCTTCCAAAGAAAATCCACTCTCAAGGAGTCACCCTAGATACCACTTGTCATTCTTAAGTAGAACTTACTTTGTTCACCATTCTGTCTCATTTGCTGGTTAGTCACTGTCCTAGTCTCCTATTGCTGCTGTAACAAATTGCCTTAAACTTGATGGTTTAAAACAAATCCAACTTAATATTTTATAATCCTGGGGGTCAGAAGACTGGAGTCAGTCTTATGGGGCTAAAATACGGTGTCAGCAGGGCTGTGTTATTTCTAGAAGCTCTAGGGGAGGACAATTTCTTTGCCTTTTGCAGCTTCTAGAGGCCACCTGCATTCCTTGGCTCATGGTTGCTTTCCAACTTCAAGGTCAGCAAGGGCCAATCAAAACTTTCTCATACTACATCAATCTGACATTGATTCTTCTGCTTCTTTCTTCTATATTTAAGAACTCTTGTGATTCCATTAGGCTCACCTGGATGATCCACGACAGTCATTTATTAGTAACTTTAATTCTGTCTTCAAACTTAATTCTCCTTTTCCATGTAAAGAGACATAGCAGTAAGTTCTAGGGCTTAGGATGTGGACAAGTTTGGGAGAGCATCATTCTGCCACTCTGTGCCAGGCAAGTTCTTTATTGATGTAAGTCCAGTTCATGCTCCAAGATGTATGATGAGGTAAGTATTATCAATCCGTTTCATAGCTAAGGAAAAAGAAGCTCTACAATTTGCTTTCTCCCTGGTCATGACAGGCCATTGGCAGAACAGGGTTCTGAGCTTCTTTCTGCTGCCTGCCGTGAGTTCTGTGTTCTTTGCATGAGGCCCTGAAGCCTCTTGTGTGGGACCCTTCTGTCTCTGTCCTCTCCATCCTTATCAGGCACTGATAACAGGGGTTTGTCCCGTTCACTGAGATGAATGCATCTGTGTCGACACTCAGTTTGTTACCTGAGATACGTTTTACTCCCTGCTCTGGACCAACAATAATGAGGAACCTGAATAGTCAAGCCAACTCCTGTTTTCAAATAAGAAATTTGAGCATCTCTTGCATACATACACACAAATCAAAGTCTATAATTTGTGAAAATGAAAGCAACTTTAAAGACTGCAAGTGGAATGGCTGTTTTGAATACACACCTGGCTACCCCAAAAAGGCCTCTATTTCTTTTGCTTCTTAATGCCAGTGTAATATTGGAAGATTTCTTGTACATGAATGAAATGACTCCTCTCTTATATACTGAATTCTATTGCAAATGTCATTGGTATGTATTTCAATGTGTTTGACTCATTACGGAGGTGTTTAATGCCTGTGTTTCATGAATCAGATGTTACTATGTTAATAAGATATGTGCCAATAAAATTCTAGGTCTGGCATTTTTTTTTTAAATCAGAAAAATAATGAAATCAGTTTTACTGAGTGACACCTTACAAGCAATCAAATTTCCTTTGATAAACCCGTGCATGTTTTTATGTGTAGGGAAATGCTAAGTCATATTCCTACACCTACCTACAAGGTAATTCTGCAGATTAAATGAAGTTTGCAAAGTTCAGAGTGACCTTGGAAGGTAACCAGGCAGAACTGAAACTTCCCTTGTTCCGCCGAATCCGTTACGATTTCTGTTCTAATTCCTTTATCAAATGTTTCCTTTCCCATGGTACAGATATGGTGCTAAAAGCTTTGAAGATAGACTTTGTTTTAGTCCATATTTCCTGTTACGCTTGAGATCTGGGGCTGTGGGAAGGCAAAGAGAAAAAAGGGAGTCAGGTTCACAATTATTCTACTGGACCTTAGACAGGTTTCATCTTTACTTCAATCAAGTTTGCCCAGTAGAATCATACTAAAATTATTTTCTTTCTGTTTTTTCTTCAGTAAAAGAGAAAGAAATAATGTCTCATTGCACTGGAAAATATACAAGTCCTCTTGCAATAATAAACATAATTCATTCTCACTCCGGCAACCGGTGAGGTCACTTCCTGGTTGCTGAGCTTATAGGTTATTGAAACCACTGGGGTTTTGTTAAAAATAGCCATCTAATAAATCTGCCCCTTCTTTTAATTAGGATAATAGTGATAACTTTTTAATGGATTGTTTTCTCCCTATTAGGGCAACTGTAAAAAATCCCCAATAATGCCTATGTTGTGTAGAGTTGAATGGAATTGAAAAAACTCTGCTGGAATTCAAAATTAATTGCTGTGGATTCTTAAGAGAAGGTTCTAAGTGACTTCAGGTTACTGACAGGGGCTAAGTCAAGATAGCACACTGTTTCCTTCAATGGGTTCCAACTTTTCTAAAGCATTGGACAGTCCTAAAATAAACACTTCTCTTTAAATTCTATCTGAAAGAGAAAAAGCCATTTTCCCACATTTTCAGGCCAAATATAGATGTTGCCCTCATTTTACACTTCAGGAATATTCTAAAAATTATTAAAATGAAAGTAAATCTGAATGTCCTACAAGAGCATCTGGGCACTTTCTTATTGGATGGAAGCAGGTGGTGAAACTTAAAGTTGATTTCTTATACAAAATCACTAGATTCCCTCTTTGTAAGTAATTATGGCAGCTGTAGAATAATCATAAGGCACTGGACCTGAAGTCAGAGTTCCTGGATCTGGCCCCTCGCAATGCCTCTTACACATTCGGGTCTTGGGCAATGGCTAACTCTCTTGACCTTCAGTTTCTTCATTTGTAAAAGGTAAATGATAGTATTAATCTCACAGCTTTTGTATGACTTACATGCATTTAATATTAATTGAGCAACTAATAAAAAAAATAGTCTTGGAAATTTAGCTTTATTGCTCTCTTTCTGTGCATTAGGCACACCTGTGACCTAGAATGAGTTACAGGTGTGCCTAGATATTCATCTTCTCTGGCCCCAGGGAAGCTCGAATACCCAGGCAACTTGCCTCTGGCCGCAAGCAGGAGCATCTTTTCAATGCAGTGTTTGGTGTAAATATAACCATTGTTTCAGGGTTCCAAAGCATAGAAAAGATTGGGAAGCATAACTAATACACATCATATCAATTAAGTTATTACAACACATTTTAGAATTAAGAAGATGGAAGCTGGGAGAATTTAACTAAATTGGTCCAAGTCACCCAAGTAGGTAAGAGGTGAAACTGTCATCTGACACTAGGTTTATCTGATTGTGATGATGTATCAACCTGACGGGGGTAAGGAATGCCAGATAGCTGGTGAAACATTATTTCTGAGTGTGTCTGTGAGGGCGTTTCAGGCAGAGATCAGGTTTTCAATCAGTGGACTGAGCAAAGAAGATCTGCCCTCACCACTGTGGATGAGCATCATCAAATTCATTGAGGACCTCAATAGAACAAAAAAAGTGAAAGAAGGATGAATTTTCGCTCTCTCCTTGAGCTGAAGTCTCCACATTCTTCTGCCCTCATACAATGGAGCTCCTGGTTCTTAGACTGTCAGACTCCAGAACTTATATCAGCAGTCCTCAGGTTCTCAGACCTTCAGCCTCAGACTAGGGGTTACACCACTGGCCCCCTTGATTCTCAGGCCTTTGGACTTAGAGTAAATTATACAACTGGTTTTCCTGGTTCTCCATCTTGTTAATGGCAGATTGAGGGAATTCTTAGCTTCCGTAACCGTGTGAGCCAGTTCTATAATAAATCTCTCTCTCTCTCCTGTTGTGTCTGTTTCTCTGAGGAACCCTGACTAACACACTAATCAAGGCTATGCTATTTACCCAACTCTATTGCAATTGTCATTAGTAATGTTGTTTATCAAATAATTCCAGCTTGTCCTTCTTTAAGGCATATTGTACAATTTCACTTCCTTGCCTTCTAGAGGTTAGGTGTGGCCAATGACTTGCTTTGGCCAATTAAATAGGAGGAGTGACATGATTCAGCTCTAAGTAGAGGCTTCAAGAGCTTCCTTTCTGGTTGTGGCAGTGATTATGAAAGCCTATGTTGAGAGAATTCCTCCATCAACCCAACTGTCACCCAAAGAGACCACACCAAATAAAGCCATCTTGTGTAGTACATGTAATGTGAGCAAGAAATGTACTTTTGTTGTTTTGTTAAGACACTAAGTTTTTGGGGATGTTTATAACCACAGAATAACCCAGTCTCCCCTGAGACAATTATGCTGCTGCCAAATATGTAGTAAGCTGTCAGTGGTATGTGGGCAAATCATGTTTTGGAGGATGGAGGAAGCCCTCATTGGTAATGTTGGGTGAATTTTGTGGTGCAAATCCTTCCACTATGGCTGATTTCAAGCTACTGACATGATGACACTGAATGTACAGTTGGGACAAAACGGACAAAATCAACCCTGGCAAGCCAATGGGATGCCAGTTCCATTATACTGCTGTCTCAGGGTTTATGGTAGTAAGCAAAATGGATGTGACTCCTGATTTCACTGAGCTTGCAGCCTAGAGAAGCAAAATTAAATGTGATAATAGAGAAAGATGTACATACGTGTGTTCAATTTTATCAAGAATATAGTGACTGAAGAAGGATCTCTTCTATCCTTAAGTGCAAATCTTTTTTAACCTGGCATCCATCAAGAGGAAGGTGTTAGGATTTTTGCCACATGGCCTACCAACAACTAGATGCCTACTGGAGTCTACATCAACTCCAAGCTATTGATTCACTCCTTTTGAAATAAGCACCAATCACAAATTTAGCTAGTTCTATTAGAAATACACCGTGCACTGATGTATACTGGAATATTTACATACATTTTCATGACACCAAATTCTCTTTTGGATCAATCTAACTTTCCCTGACACCCCATTCTAAATAATGACTCTTTGAAATAAAAATTTTAGGGAAAATGTGGAATACTATGAGTAAATGTTCAGAAACGTATGATTACTATATAGTCCTCTGTGGCAGAGACTGGCTAGATGCGTATCAATCCTGTTCTATTTTTCTGGACACACTAGAAGATGACTTTTTCCAGCCTCTTTTCTGATAAATTTGAGATTAGGAAAGCAGTGATGTACACCATTGCCAGATCTGTCCATACACGATTTCCCTTGCTCTCTGTTTTGCTAGTTGGCTGGCTGAACGTAGAGGATTCAGTAAAGGTCTCCAAGTAGTGGACTCTGGAAACTAGTGGCACCGAAAACAGAGATGTTTAGATCATGGGTGTCAGCCTAGCTGCTAAATGCCAAGTGGACTATGCGCTGAATTATTTTGCATTATTGTTGTAGTTATAACAGATGGTGTTAATTACCCTGACTGATATCTCTTCTTATCTGAGAATATATTATATTTACTTGGAACTAAAAGGTTAGCATGTTATTTTGGATTTTACATGCAAGGAAGAAACTGGAGCACAGACTATTTCATCAAAACAATTGAGTTTGCCATGATACAAGTTAGATTATCTAAGCAGAAACAGAGGGAATTCAGAATGGGTTAAGAATGTAACCTGGCTTTATCCAGAGCATTAAAGATTACCAAAGAAAGAAATGAGTAATTGTTCCATGTGTCTTCCAAGTAAGAAGAGTTGAGGTCTTTCCTCCCTCTTCATTCTTAACTTTTAAAAGAGAGCTGCAGAGCTTCAGAATATGAAGTTATTTTTAGAAATACTTCTTTTAACAATGCTTAGGAGCACATTACTGCCTATTGTTGAAACTAGCAAATTCGGTTTAGATTGATCAAAATGCTCCAATTCTTGGTGTGTTAATTCCTCACAGGCCCTTGTTCAGTTCTTTGCATGCTTACATGAAAGGATGAAAATGTTTGCTAAAACTTTGTGATAAAAAGGATTATTTTGAATCAAATAAGTAATTAACAGCCTGTGGCCAACACAGTGTTGTACCACCCAGATGGCCTTTCAAGGAAGGACCTGCTGTCCAGCTGAAGATAATATGATCAGCAAGGGCCTCCAGCCATCAGCTCCTTCCGGGGCTGCCTCAGCTGCAGAAAGCTGCCTTGCCTGTGGCCAGGCAATGCCTGAATGTCACTCATCAATGACCCATCATGGCTGGAATGACCAGCAATATTCGCTCCTGAGCTCCCTGGTGGGCTGGCTGAGGTTTTTTGTGGCCAGCATCCCAAGTGACATCCACTTCTGCCCAGTCCTGCCTCTTGCTCCTTCTTTTCAAAGCAGTTGATCTCTAATAAACATCATTTGCCCCAAATTCCATCCCAGCATCACCTTCTGGAGAACCCAACCTGTGACATAGACTATTGAGAGGCTAGCCAACTGACAAGAATACATATATTTAAAAGTCAAATTTAAATTTAACTCTTGGTCTACCAGAGGACACCCACATCAGTCATACGCTAATGCTTGCTCTAGAATGAAGGCTAGAGATTCTTAATCTTGCTCCAAAATTTCTGACTGCTTTTTTTCTACATTTGCACTTCACAAACTAAGATATTAAACATATTTTTAAAAGACATTTCTAGCAAATAACACTTTTTTTTTCTCAATTCTAGTGGAAGAAAGGAAATTACTACTTGATTAATTCAATGCAGCCCATGGCTGTCAGAAATTACCAGAGTCTATAGCAATAAATAGTATATCTGCATCTTATCATTTCTTTTTTTACCTAAAAAAAAATGGGCCCATAGATGTTGATGAGAATCATTTTTACTTAGATCTGTACTGTAGTTTCACACACTCTCTCTCCCTATAATGATGATCATATGTAAAAATATACTGCAAAAATGATCTAATGTATCTTTCAACATTCGTCTTTACTATGATTATAAACCTCTATCGATATAATCTTATATCCTGGTTACTCTTGGAATTACAGCCACAGAAGCCTAGTTTGTTTATTAAAATAATACATCCAGTTTATCCCAGTTTCTACTATTGTATATTTCTGAAGATTACACCTGGTCCATTCTTACATAGAGCTGAGAAAATTATCATAACAACATATCTTTGCAAAATATTTCTGAATTGTCTGCCATAGAGACTGGCATTTACTGCTAATGACCTTGTTCTTCAGATCGTGAAGAATAGTTAATTATTGTTTAGTGTATACTATGTTTAGTTAGTTATTACATATGTTTAGTGTATATTATGTTAGTTATGTTGGTTATAATGTATATTGTTCAGTGTATTTTTATGGTCATTTGCTACTTTAAATACCTTACATGAATTATCTTGGTGAGCCCTCAAGACAACCTTATAAGAAAGGTGTTTTTTATCATGGTCATCCCATTTCACGGATGAGGGAACTGAGGTCCAGAGAGTCACAATAACATACCCAAAATAACAGTTAGTACAGATAAAACCAGGATGCAGACCCATGTAGCCTCTTATTTACTAGGTTTTACAACTAATATTTAAGGTACTACTTTCCAGGAGTCCTCAAGTAAAGAGTAAATACCAGTAAAAAAGATAACTCACTAAACTATTATTAGTTGAACTTAATGTTTGTGATTTAATTATTTATGTGCCTAAATAATTGATACACAAGTTAGAATTAGTTTATTAACTTATCTAGGATTGTCTTAGGAGACTGGGTCATGGTAAAATAGGATATAATTGGAAATGGAGAGAGGTGAAGAGGAAGGGGGGATGAGTCTAAAACAAGAATTGCTTTCTGGAAAGGGCACTTTGGACGTGGAGCCACACTGAATGGGTCCCTTGAGGCCAGGGGAGAGAAGCATAAAGACAGTGAATGTCTTGTGATGTGGGGGTGGGATTCAATGCATAGAAAGAGAAAGCATCATGTTGCCAAGAAATGATTTTCCCTCTGTCTGGTCTTTTCCAACACCGTTTTAATTTCTCTTCATAACACTGAAGCACAGTGACAGTATGATAATCCACTCTGAATTTTCAAATGGATTCAAATATGTTTGGAGCTCTAAAGCCATAAAATGTTTATTGTACAAAATTAAATATAAAAAATATTTACTTTGCCGACAAGATGGTAGAACTTGGGCATATAAGTAATTTAATGGTTGGATAACTGGAGGTTATCTATTTAAATGAGTTTAGTTTCTAATCAAAATTCAAAATGCAAGTTCTGTGGATTTTTGTGTGATCCCTTATTCAATATACACTCTTTTATGAGACATTTCTGTAAGTCTTTGTGTTCCAGCAGTAGATGAGTCACACATTTCACTGAGTGTTTTAATTTTTCAACATACCGGATCCTTGGAAAAAATTGAAAGTATGATTTTTCCCTTATGTTATCAAAGAAAACCAAATTTAAAGACTCTTCTAGAATGGGTTTTCATATCTCACATCATCACTTATCTAACCTATTCAGTTCTAGTTCCGCCTTCCTCCAAACATTCTTATGATTGAGCCAGTCCTGTAACAACTAGCTTTGTAAAGGGGTGGGGGGTGACTTTCTGCAGGCACTGATTACAACGTTTGTGTAAATTACTTCGAAGTTTGGCAGATCTCTTTCTAGAGACAGGGACTCTTCCTGTTATTATTTTGCCAAAATCTGCTTGACTCTCTGATCTTTGTATTATGAAAACAAAATGCCTTTACTGAATCCTGACATGTCATAAGCTTGACAGTGCTAAATTACCTCTCAAAAGCAGCAATGTTTTAGCCTGTCTTCTTTAAAAAAATCTGTTCTAATTTCTTAACTGCTGAAAAAGAGCAGAGCTCACATCAAATGTGACTCATAATATCAAATCCGGTGCCTTTCTCCCTCCTCCTCCTGCCCCTTTAAAAATTGATGGTGTACTCTGTCGCTTTCTGACTAGTTGAAGGTATCATAAAATTCTTGAGTGGGAGGGGAAGGAAGGTTTGGCTCAATTCTTCATGAGAATTCAGCCAGCCATTCCAAGAACAGGAGGCAAGAGTGCTCATAATTGTAAAGTCTAATGATATTACAATGTATATCACCTCCCACCACTGGTTAATTTCTGTATAACCAATTTGCTCTAAAATTGGTAACTGTAAAAAAAAAAAAAGTCTATTGTGGGTTGGGTTTGGTCTACCAGGATAAAGCTCAGGTCTCCAGGATAAAAATGCACGTGTGGCAAAAACCAACTTCCCTCCTCCCCTTCTTCAGCTATTCTGTCCAGAAGTATTGACAGCTGCTCGTAAAGAGAGCTGCTTTTGTCCTCCTAATCATGGGAAGTGGTACGATGGTTTAGGAATAAAATTACATGTAAGCTTCCCACAATTCCGGAATGGGGGACCCTGATCCTGATAGGTAAGCCAAGCTACTTAAGAGGCAGTCCCCTATTGCAAATGGGCATCAGTGTGTTTTATCTGACCTTTGATCAGGAAGCTGGGTGTGGCACATAAATATGCTCTTTCCATTTTAGTATCAACGTGGCCACACTTCTATTTTGATGTATAATGAACACAATTCCAATATTTAAAATTCAACTAATACTTACCGAGTACCTACTCTGTGCCAGTTACTGAGTTAGACCCTATTGACAAATACAAGGTAGGTTAGACACATTCTCAACTTGAAGAGTCTCCATGGACACATCCCTTCCAAAATCTACTGGATCCATCTAAGGGAACATAAGCAAGGAAGGGACTTAGTCTTTGGCATGGAAGGGGGCAGTTACCAATGTCTAGAGGTATTTCTGGTTGTCATAACTGGGGAGGGGATGCTACTGGCATCTAGTGGATAGAGGCCAGGGATGCTGCTAAATATCCTATAATGCACAGGACAGTCCTCCATAACAAAAAATGATCTGGCCCAAAACATCTGTAGTGGTGAGGTGGAGAAAATCTGGCATAAATCAACTCCATAAACAATGGGGATGGGGTAGAAAAGAATATCCGGCATTTATCCAAATAGCGTTTTTTTTTTTTTTAAGAATAAAATTGTATATAGATCTTTGAGGACAGAAGAGGTGACAAGGAGGCTGGGATAGCCCTGAGTAGAATTGAGAGGTCCTTGTATTGTAAGAATATTTCTAAAGAGTCTTAGCCTCTGCTTTTCGGGACTGCAATTGTTGCATATGAAACATAGTCATCAACCAGTCCTTAAGATAACAAAAGCTACAACATCAACACAAACAACTAACCCATCAACAGCACTTATTATGAGTTGACCGCTGTTCTAAACACGTACGTTAGATTTGAAACTATGCTATTGAGTGAGCATTACTATTGTGCAAGTTGTATAGATGAGGAAACCAAGGTCTATGGCGCAGTTAATTTGTGGTCCTGTGGCCTCCCAGCTGTACGTGGTAGAGCCCTGACTAGAACCTAAGTAGTTTGGATTCAGTCTTTGCTCCTAACTGCAAACAACTGCCTTTTCTCACGTGAGCTGTTGAAATTTTATTCCATCTCAGCTAAATTTCAGGTGTGTGATCTGGACAAGTTATTTTCTCTGTGCTTCATTTTTATCATCTGTAAGATTGATCTACTACTCGATTTTGGTTGTGGTAGGGTTTAAATGAGTTAGTGCATGTAGGGCATTTAGAGCTGAAAAAGGGTAAGTTCTTAAGAAATTTCACCTGTAATGATGATGATGCTACTTCCCTGTGGCATGTGCATTTTAGGATGGCCTTACATAGTGGGGAAAGATTGCACAGCTTTTGGAGTCAAGTAGAGTTGGTCCATACCCTTTCACTGCCTGTAGTTAGCTGTGTGACTTTGACCAAGTTAAGGAGCTCTTCAGGCCTTATCTTTCTGTTCTCTTTCTTTCTCTGGCTCTCTCTCTCTCTCTGTCTCTCTCTCTGTCTCTGTCTCTCTCTCTCTGTCTTTCTCACTCTCTCTCCCTCTTTTTCTTTTTCTCCCTCTTTCTTTCTTTCTTTTTCCCTACCCACTCTTTCTCTCTTTCTTTTCTCTCTTTCCTCCTCTCTTTTCTTTTTCCTTTGTCTCTTTCCTAAACGTGAATAATTCCTTGGAAAAAATAAACATAAATTTTTATGTGGAAATGTACAGAATAATACCTGAAATAAAAGGAATAAATCAAAAGAAATAAAATTTTAAATACTGTGAGCCATTGGGAATCATAATTTCACATTAGTCTTCTACTGTCACCTGATCCGTGCTATTTAAGTGTATTTCATTCTTTTTTGTTAAATCATCTCTCATATGAGAATATTGCCCTCTGTACTTAGATAGCCAGCATGTGGTCACTAAAAAGTTTTGCATGCTAGGGGGCTGGCCCCGTGGCCGAGTGGTTAAGTTCGCGCGCTCCGCTGCAGGCGGCCCAGTCTTTCGTTGGTTCGAATCCTGGGCGCGGACATGGCACTGCTCATCAAACCACGCTGAGGCAGCATCCCACATACCACAACTAGAAGGACCCACAACTAAGAATATACAACTATGTACCGGGGGACTTTGGAGAGAAAAAGGAAAAAAATAAAATCTTAAAAAAAAGAAAAAAAAAAACCACACACAAAAAACGTCTAGCAGGGTGCTGGCGTGTGGTATGAGTTCAATAATGTGCATTGAATAAATGGGGGAAAACTGTTAAAAAAAAAAAAAGTTTTGCATGCTAATGGTAAATCCAGTGTATGTGTGTGTGTCTGTGAGTGTATGCATGTGCACCTGTGAATAGGCAGGCATATGCATATAGAAAACCAAAGAAGAGGGAAAAGACACACCTTCTCTACTTGAGCCTACAGGCACATGCCCTTTTGACAGGTGATGTAGAAGAGGGCGTGATGGAAGGCTGGGCAGGGAAAAGCTTGTTCTGATGGATGGTTTGAGAGCATATTAGCTGCCAGAGGATGCAGTTGGTGTGGTTGGAAACTGGGAGTATAGAAACATTATTCTCAGCTTTTATTGATTAAACTGTTGTCCATAACCTAGCATTTGTCATGTCTTAGATTACTGAATTTTTTTACAGCTTCCTCTTATACACTGTGCTCTTAAAGATATTAAACAGAACTGTCTCTCTTTGAACGTGTTTTCAAGCAAAGTCCTTTTTAGGAAAACAGACTATATATCGTTGATTAGGATAGAAGTGTATGACTTGGAGTCAGCATGATACACAATTTAAAGGCACCCGGGGAGTGACTAACAACCCTAGCTATTTTATGAATCAGTTATTGAGGCAGTGAAGAGTGAAGGATATAACACAGGTTCACATCTCTCTTGGATCATTAAGTATTGCTTTGACATATTGAATGTTTCCAAAGAAATGACATTTTTGATCAGATACAGGGAATTGGTTACTAAGAAGGTTGGGTCATTGGATCAGCCTCTGTTATATTTTTATTAACGTTGATATGTTCTGTTTTTGATTAAGGGCTGGGATTCCAAAGTCTGATTTTTAAAAATCATTTCTTCTGATTTTTGGAAAAGGAAGCCTGCTTTGTTAATTTTTTCTCTTCCAAAGTCCAAGGTGTAGAGAAAAATCTATGAATCAGCTTTGTAGTATATTTTGTGAATGGTAGGGCAAACTAACCACGTTATTCTGCAGCTTCTAACTAGTTAAAGGTTATGTCAGTGAGTGGAGCAGTACAATGCAAATGACGTCATTGAATTGGAAGTCTTGGTTTTCTTGGTAAATGTTTTCTTTGTTTGCTGTGCAATCCTCTAACTGATTCTACTTCTGAACCTAGTCATAGGTAATCGAAGATATCAGATTCAAGAGAGGTGCAAAGAGTGTCACATCTTCCTTATCATATGGGTTCTTGCTTCTCCTAAAAATCTAATTATGATTTATTTCCTACCTTCCTCTAAGAGGCTGTCAGGATGAATGACACCAATCCCAACCACCAGCAGATGTCCAAGTCCCCCAGACACCCATTGCCGCCTGAATATGTTTATGCCTCAATCTCCCGTGGTTCCATTCCTTCAAACCCTCCCACTCACTCTGACCTCTGGAAACTTATGCTGTCATCAGTTAAACTCCCTGTATGTTAACTCTTTTCTCTGAAAATTCCTCTTATATTTTTGCTTTAACACAAGTGCTTCCCAAACGTAAGTGTTCCCAACATCGCTTAGAATGTTTGTAAAAGTACGGATTGAGGGGACCTACTCTGAGTCTCTGATTCAGTAGGGTTATTGTAGAGACCTGGAATTTGCATTTCCATCTAGTTCCCAGGTGCTGCTGCTGCTGCTGGGTTTGGGACCACACTTTGAGTACCATCTCTGTAATGGAAACTTTGTTATCTCTCAGGACACTGTTTTCCCTACACTCCTCTCAAATGGTGGCTGTTGTTCTATTCACTTACCAAATACAATTATAATTTAAGACAGTTTGGGTATTTGCTTTGCTGTTGACAGCTGTTCTCATACTATTCCTTTTCACTCCTTCCTCAAATACATTAGAAAGCCATCAGATAATGTCACCTGCAACACATTTTGTGGCAGTTTCCACCAACCTTCCAATCACTTCCCCTTCTTCATTGAAATATTTTAGTATCTGACTACCTTTCTGTCTTATTATGCTTGCCAACATTCTTACTGTCTTCACCATCTCCATACATGGCCCATGACCCTACCACTATTTCTCTATCGCCTCATCCACCTACTCTCCTCCGCATACAGCTTAGATTCCAGACCCCAAAATTCCTTCAACTTTCTCTTCAAACAAAACCTTCCTATATTTTCCCTGCAAAATGCTAACCCTGGCTAACCCCACCTCTGCCTATTCTGGGCCTGGACCCAAGAAGTCTTACACAGATGGAAAAACAACAAAACAAAATAAAAATGCAGAACCATGCTACCAATTTCCACTTTAAATACATGATAAAAAAATCTCAAATGGGTTTTTAGCACAATCGTAATGCAGGTCTCTATTCTGGCAACCAGTAACTGAGTAGAAGTTGAGATGGATGCTCAAAGTCTCAGACAAGAGGCAGAATAAAGTAGTGGTTGAAAGTCTGGATTGTGGAGTCAAACATCTGAGTCTACACCGGTCTCTGACTTTTACCAATTGAGTGTCCTGGAGCAAAATATCTAGTCTTTCTACAGCTTTGTTGCCTTATCAAGAAAATGGAAAAAAATAATAGCTTATACTTAATTTTTGTAAATATTAAATTATATAAAGCATATAAAATATTAGCATAGTGCCTGGCTACCGGTAGGCACCTGGTAAATATTAGCTATTATTATTATTATCAATAATGTCATTGAATTTATAATCCATACCTTAATTTTTACCAAGACAGACCCACCTTTGGAACCTAAGGTTAAAGCATTCACTAACTAGTTTTTCCGGTACTGATTCCTATAAACGGTGTCTGAGTGTGTACATTTATGTTGTCACAACATGGATCAAACTAGCTAAACTGAGGGATTCAGTTACTTGGATGTCTGTGGACCTGGAATAAACTTTACAACTTGATATTTCAGGAAAGCCAGTCTGTTAGCACGTACATGAATGGTTTTCCTGGAATAATTAAATGTTTTCCAAGTCTAGCCATGCCCTCCCCTTACCTTCTGACAAACAGAGTAAAATGAAAACAATTTGGAGGAAGCAGTAATGCACTAATCAGTAAGTCTTTCTTTATGAGGTAATAAATCCTCGTTTCCTCAACAACCATTAAGTGCTCCATTCATGAAATGTAGTCAAATCATTAAGGAAAGAGCTGACAAC